TTAATCACCCCCTTTCAAGGAGGCAATCTCAGGTAGAACACTAGAAATGACACACAGGTGCATTGAGTTCGTATTCCTCTCCCCTCTCTCCCCGTCTAACATCGTACAACCGTCTAGGCGACAACTCTGTGCACTTTGGTGGCTTGAGCCCAATTGAATAGGCCTAAGACCATTTTTTCTTAGTCAGATAGTCTGGAGCTGAGACATCATGACCCCCCCCCACTTCCACCATGAGAGAAGTGGGCTCAAGGGCTCGAAGATAGATGACAATTGTGTATGTGACTGCTCTCGTTCGTCATGTTACTTTTTCCGACCAAAAGTTATTGACACTTTGTTGTTGTTTTTATAAGTCTTGATTTCTCTAACTCTGTCTGAGTTCCCACCTGTCAACATGATGTTGATTATAATCGTGATAGGTGAAGGAGACTGTCAAATTATTGAAATAGGCAATCGCGCACTGTTTTACGCGTTCTAGAGAATAAACGACATCGCAAATCTTCTTTTGACGACCATAAATAAGTAACCAATTACAGAATAATTTTGATTGCTCTTAAACTACTTGGGGCCAGTAGGAACGCTTTTATGTTAATCAGGCGGGGTGTGCAATAGACTTACCTCCATGTGGTGCACTCTGGGCAACGTATGCTCATACGGCAAAAAAGTCTATTGACTGGAAGTTGACTTATGACTTCAAACTACCATCACCCCACTGTATGTCAAATTCGACTACTTCCACAGTACCCATCTTAACTTTTACTCTACCTTTGGGTCTGTCTGCCTCTTTTACATGTGTGAATCACTCTTCTGTTCCCCTCTCGACTTTTTGTCACTTTAATGTTCCTTCTCCTCTCTATGAAGCCCGAAGTCAGCTAATGGGCTAATGATAGCTATCAAAACGCCTGCCATTTGAAATAAATAAATGTTAATCAGGCTGTAAAAGTTCGTACATCAACAAAATTATTCGGATTGCATTCTGTTACCAAGACGCTTGGAGCATGACCCACTTCCTTGCAGTCTTCGAGTAAATAAAAGTATTTACCAGAATTCTCGGTTGTGTGAACTTAAGGCATTGTAATTTGACACGCATTTTTAGCTAGTCTTTTGATTGGCTATTACTATAACCGTTCAATCGTTGACTTGATATTAGGCATAATCCAAGGTGAAAATCTTCTCATCACCCTATTTTGGGCTGCTTCAAGTCGCAGTTCTGGTAACTAATGCTAACTAAGCTATTTTGAGCTGGTAATTCACATAATAATCCTATTCTGTCATTCCAATTATTTGAGCCCTGAATTTACTCGACTGTGTCGAGCAACATATTTCACTCTAAACGGTTCATTAATAGTGAATAATTGCGATCAAAATGCATATTATTCCAATCAGCGTGGTGTTACCAACAAGCGCTATTGTTATTCTCCTGCTACAGAGAAGTAGACAATCCATGTCAGGCAATAATAACATTGCCTCTTCTAACACAATTAATTGCCCGAAGGAAACAATTTGCGGAGATAGATGCAAAAAACTCCAAATATATTCCAAATGGGGGCAGTAAATAAAGCAAAAAATTCTCGAGATCTCTCCTGTGTGGTGATTGTAATTATCGCAAAGTGTCACTCGGGTTTGAGTGACAATGGTGGGGGGTGACAGGCTTATATGCCTATCAGGCATGGCCCAGACGGTTAGCTTTTTACATGACTCATAATGAAGACTCGACTTGCATGCAGTCAGTTATTCATTCAAGATGCATAGAGCAGACGTAGCTTCGATATTCCTCGTCTAAACGATTCTGGTCAAGCTAAATTCAATGTCCTCTCCGAGATCACGAAAAGCGACTCGCGTTCATAAGGTGGGAGTATTTATAAGCAAAATGTTAACTATTTTTGAAAGAATTTCCGACCATGCTGGTTGGCTTTAGTTATGCTGATCATCATAGCTCATACAGAATGGGCCTTGGTTGGTTCTGTCTTGTTCAAATCCTATAAGTATTTTTTCTTATATCTTTTCAAAAAAAGAAATATCAGCTCATTACAACCCTAGGGTCTTGTATGCCAAATGAGCGCAACTTTGTCTGTTCTATCAAATAATCTGCATGCTTTCGTATTATTTGCCCATAGTATTGATTATAACACTTGAAGAATGCAACGAATGCTTGATGAGAGTCGTTTAGATTCTGAGTTCTTTGTTAAGGAGATGCATCTGTTTTCACGACTAAGTATTCAAGGCGAAGTGGTGACACACAGAAGCCTCATATTGTGGTCAGTGTTCACATCATGCCGACCACATCACAGATCAAGACGCAACTTCGATTCTCAAATTCTCCCCCCCTCAAAGGAAACTGTAATAAAATGGCTGAAAACGCAAAAATATTAAAGCATTTTCAGACCTTCGCACTGCTCTGACGTGGTAACAAAAATATTGTTTAACAAGGCATGAGATTAGTCATTTTTGTAGTTGTAAAAAACGAGCTTAGACACTGAGACTACTAGGTTAGCCCAATGAGTATAAAATGGGAGGGAGAGAGGGAGGGGAAACGATTGAGTTAGGTGCAGAATTAGGTCAAAAAGTTTTAACAATTTTCGACTGTGGGAAACAGATAACGTAGGATATAAAGGGGGGGGGGAGGAGGGAACCGATAAGGATACAGAGAGCAACGTCAAGGTAACAAGTGGTCGAACTTCCATTTTTTTAACTATGATTGTTCAAATTTAGTCAAATATGCACTCCACGCTCTAGAATTAAATTTATAAATCGTTACCTCAATTGCTTGTCCCCGATATTCAGTGCTTACTGGCAAGTACTTTTTCATTCAAGATGATCGGTCATTATTCTTCAAACTATTGAGAAGAAAAAGTGAGCCTTAACGATGTTTTGCACTTTACCGTTTTAATTAGGCAGAGGTGACAGAGATAGGTAATACGCATTGTTGATGTTTTTTACTGTTGATCACGTCACTATTTTAGGCTCAGAACTCGAAGTTTAGGCCTCAAAGTTCCCAACTCTTGATGTCTGAAACTAATTAGCTGAGTTTTGAAGCATTTGCCTCACAGGGATAACTGTGTTGAGTAATGACAAAATTTAAGAGATTAAAAAGGAATTCCATTGTCAAAGCAATTGTACTCTTAGCGACGAGTTTTACTTAAGATAGTAGCCATTAGAGTCTATCACACCTTCAATCTCGTCTACGCCCTACCCCCCCCCCCCCCCCCCCCCACCACCGCCACCCCTGTTCATTCATTAAAGTGGGTTAAGGTGGTATTCGAGAGGGGAGTTTTAGAGAAAACACAAATTCCACGCTTGTTCCAGTTATGCCTGTACGTGCATGTACAATCTGGAATACTGTTCTACTAAAACAGGGTATGTGCAACTGGTAAATATCTGCAAATATCCAGTACCTGCTCAGGGGATATTAAGGGGTGAGAAAATTGGTCAATTTGAGATATCCATTGTATTGCGTGGCTAAAAATGAGTGCAAATCTGCGTTCTCGAAAAACCAATATCTAACTCACTTGTCTCCCAGCCACTTCAAAAGTGATGTTCTCTAATTATTTCTCCTGTCAAAATGACCTCAAGGCCCAAGGGATTATAGAAAAACTTATTTTTGAGAGGGTAGCATCGGTTGATCATTTTCTTACAATGCGATAGAAAAATAAAACAAACCAAAATTTGTAAAATGCTGGCGATCAATTCAATTATCCATGTCCTTTGAATGGGGATCTATATAAGTCAATTTGTGACCTGCTATACTTTGAACTTCTATTAATTAGGGCAAATGTTGATGTATGTCCTTCTTCTTCTTCGTTCAGCTCACCAACTTTGTTTCCCCCTCTTCTTTGACCCGGTTATCGGCTGGTCGCTTCCTTTTAATTGAAAGAAAAACAAGTGGCATTCACTTCAAGGAGGGTTTCTTTTGAGGTACCAAAAATAGCATTTACCACCAATGTTTTGCTTTCCACCTCATCGTATGCTCCTTGTACTTCATTTGTGCTTTAATTAATCAGCTCATACGCATATGTGTGCGCTTCAACCAAAAAAGTTGCTACTTCGACCAAGTCCAACGTTTTCTTCTCGAAATCGGTAAAGAAGCATCTACTGTGGTTGGGTATGCATTCAGTTTTAAATTTGTAAAAGCTTTTTCACTTAGTAAACGCAGAGCTGAAATAAGTGGGCGTAGATATGACGATAAACAGGTGTAAATCGATGTTATTAAGGAATTCTGGCACCCAAAAATAGGCCAAACGTTTTGGCAACAATATCAACTACTACTCAAACAGTGTTAAGCATTAACTGCCGAAATATTTTTTTCGAAAAATGCTCCGAACCGCACCCGCTCATGTTTCACACCAGAGGGGTGTCTACCTGATGAGCTTTGGTGGTGCATCAGGCGAAGGCTATTGACATATTGAACATGTTTCCAATGGCGGCAGCCCCTTCTATTACCAGTCTAGTACCAATGGAGCTTATTTCGAATGAGGACAGGTACGGTTCTAATGGTGTTAAAGTGTTAGATAATTCCATTGTCGTTGACAAGGCGACATTGCATGGGTAGCTATTTGCCGCCTCGGTATAGGCATTTTCATGGCCTGCTGTTCAATGAAATACAAAACTGGGAGTGATATGGGTGCAGTTGAAAAAGTGATTTTCAAAAATAAAGGTCAAACCCAGAGGCAAAAAGAAGCAAACTCTATGGAATGCCATGAAGTTTCGAAGACTTCTCAATCTCCTCAACCTATGCGTATCCTTTTGTGCTATTCGTTCTTGAAATAATTTGACTTAGTATTAACGGCTCTTGGCAACCATTTTCCAGTCGTTAGCACTTAGGTAGAAACAGCATCAAAACAATATCATCGAACAACCGAATAAAGCATTCTCTTTGCATCTCCAATGCTACTCTAGCAAAAAATTCCCATACTTTTATATCTACCCAATTGACAAACTACATTCAGCAATTGTCTCGCAACGTTGCCGCTTTTGAACATTCTGAATAAAATGATAATTTACAGTTATTCAATCAGGGGCCGGTCATTTTGCTTCAATGCTTTCTCTGTTAGTTGGTTGGGAAGGTAAAACTCCTCCTGCATTCTATTCAGAGCTCCATGTGCCCGGTCAAGGCGAAAGTATTCTGAAGACGCTCTGAGAGTAAACTCATATTCTTTCACTCCTTTTGTTGTTTGGAAATTATCAGCACAGGTTGGCATCCACTTTACTGGCAATGCATGCATTAAGATTGATTTTGTGAACTTCGGATTGGCATATGCTCACATTGACCATTTCGTCACCGTTGCACCAAATCCGAATCCTATTACTAACCCCTTGAACGGTAACCACCAGTTGGACCCGCTAAGCCAGAGCGGGGAATGCCTAGATAAAGATTAAAAATTTTGACCATAGCAGATGAGTCATTTACTCAGAAGATTGCTATACGCGGAGTGTTGACGCCTGGTATCGAGCACAGTCCTGTCACAACAGCTTAAAGCTCGGCAGGTAACCACAAATGTTATTGGAAAGAATTGCATTTGCATCGAAGTTCCTGCGAGTGCGCAACTTCTTCTTATCATAGGTTTCAAATAGAGCTTACTTAAACACTTGTCTTTAATATGAACAATTTATTATAAAGTGAATAAAGCCACAACTTTACAAATACGCAGGAGGCAAAGTGATAAAATAAGCCTACTTTCTGAGTGGATATAAGCGCATTTTTTTGGCGACACTAGCATCAACTAAGGTAAATAATAAGGCAGAGAGGAAAAGCGCTGATCACTCCCATTTCACTCCTGAATGGTGTCTGGGTTTCATGAAGTCGATAATTCGATCAATGCAGCCCTCCTCAAACTCCGGTGTCCATCTATTATAAACAGAAAGGTGAACACGAATAATGTGTCAAAAGTAGGCATGAATTGAAGAGAGAGGAAAACGAAGCTTACTGGACAGAATTGAATTTCGTGATTGCTCGTATATCTTCAGGGATAATTTCTGTAACACTCCAGTCAAATCGATCTGTTAGGGGAATGATATGGCAACTGCTCTCCAACGCGCACCTAATTTCCTATATTGAATTAAGCACAACTTTAAATTAAAATGGCCCACAAAAAATATTTTGAAAATGTGATTAAATATAACATTTCCTGAATGAAGAACAAAGCAAAATGGGTGGGGTTCTGCTTTGTTCCAGCTGGGGTTGAGATTTAGGTGGCTAATTTAAAAAAACTTATTTCTTGTGATTTCGACTGTGCTCCTTTGGAACCTATTTTTTAACTTAATTACAAGAAATTGAGAAGATCTCGGCTTTCATGAGTTGCAGTTTATTGTACAATTAAAGAAATTTTGGTGAATGCTCCCATTTTTAGTATTACAGAGCTAATAATTAGTATAAACTAGCGAAATTATTTGACATCCTGAAATTCATTGGGATTCAAGGATGGATTATTTTTTTCGGCAAATCCATAAAGACACGTCTACTTATGTTGGTTAGTAGCAATATTATTTCTACAGAGTCTCGTTTTTAGACATCGAAATTAATTTATTGGTCATCAGAAGGGGCAGAATATTGATAGGACATAATCATCCTTTCATTTCAACAAATTTTGACAAGCTCAAAACCTGGGGAAAAATCTAACCTCCTGGGTTAGACCCGTTTAGGTGTAATATTCGAATTGCTAGCTGGATGATTCGTCGCTCAAACAGTTAAAGAGGCTTCCAATATCTTAGGGCGTACTTTTGCACTAACATTACAGCGTCTCTTTGCTATTATTTGGTTACCGATTTTCGCTGTTTCATTCATTTCAAGTTGGGCAAAACTCATGGTTTATCGATTTTCACTATCTAATATTCGCGTCTTGAGGTTTATTGTACTTTGCTTTGCTTTGAATTTAAACCTCTGCCTAGTAAATTCTCCACCATTACCTATGACTTTATAATACAACTTGTGACATTTGAGTTCGCAGAATATGGAAGGAGTTTAGACTCATTCTGCCCTCTGATCTTCGCATTTCGAACCTTCGTGCATAATGCCAGTGAGCCAAAGACAATGCTCCCTAGTTTAACCAGTGGGATTCAAAACTATTTCGATTTCCTGTGCTATATACATTGGTATGTAGTATTTTCTTTGATTATCTCATTCGCCATTTTATACTGATAAGTTTAATAATAGTAGTATATACATGTGGGTATATTAAGGGAACCAACCCTCCGAACCCAGTCAAGACTGCCGTCCGTAGTGCATCGATCTAGAGCGCCTTCCGTGAGTATCAGGATGAAATTATCCGATCGTCTGATTGAATCGATAAGTTTTTGATCAAATCGTCCACCTTTCAAGCGCTCGATATCAAGGAAGACTTTGTAGTTGCGAAGTTGGAGGAGTGTTTTCACAAGGCTGGCAAGATGAGTGCCGTTGGAACGTCGGTAGGAAATGAAGACGTCAATGCGATTTTCTGTGTCGTCGCCATCTGTTTTTCTTCCACTTGCTGCATTATTGAAATGAATGTAGATTGTTAGTCATTGCCACGTGTATTAATAATTGTTCATTACAAGAGTAGATCACAATCAAATATTAATATTGTTGAAACGGGTTAGAGCTTAAGTGTTAACAACATATCAATCTGTAACACGCTTAAAGGCCTACCGGAACGATGCTTTATACAGTGTTCTTTCAAAGAATTTCTATAAGTAGTCCCATGGATAAGTTTCAACAAGGAAAACTTTACCCTGCTGCATGTGTCGTTTGGTATTTTGGATCCCAAAAGCGTGCTAAGGGGATGCAAAATCAATAATTTTTCTCTGAATGACCAACTCACAAATAGCCTGTCAGTCTTGTATGCATGTGGATGTATGTTCTTCTTTACATTCTGGCATTTAGTCGGGCAAAATATCAATAAGTTAGCATTTGCATTACTACTGAAATACCCTAAGTAGGCTTCGCCAGCACGTTAGAAAGCATGTTTGAAGCTGGATCTGTGAACGAGCTAACATTTAAAACTCTACTTATCTTCGTACGAATTGCTGAGAGGGGGAGGGGGAGTGGCCGTTATGACTAGATAGTTTCACTTTTGTACATTTCTTAGTTCCTTGTAATTAAATTATTCCCCCAATTAAGATGCGCCAACGTATTTGCACCATTTCCTCCATCACGTGTTCAATAAAATTTCCGTTAATTAAGTTGATTGTCTGTAAAATAAAGCACTGGAACCGTTTTCCTCTACATTTTATTGCATCTGACTTTAATTAACTAAAATTTGCACTTTCTTTGGTCGGTAAAGGAGCATTACGGGAAACAAGATAGAGATGGTCGCTATTAAAACGCAATTAAATTTGTTTCAAAGTATGACAAATATCGGTTCTATAGCAACAATTCAATTCAAGCTAAGGGTGGTAGCATAGATGTAATTTATACCTGGGGTTTATAGCTTTCAGTAAAAATGCAAAGAGAATGCGATGGGAAAATCGAATTGAAGGTTGTAGTCCTGCTACTATCTTTCCTACCCAATTCCAGTTTCCAAAATTTAATTCCAGGCGATTTCGAGAGAGTTCGGTGGTGGGGGGGGGGGGGGGGGGGGGGGTGAGGGGGGCAATTTTGATTGATTGTGGACGAAAGTGTGCAATAGAACTAATGGAGATTAAAAGATTCGGTATTGACATTACTTCAAATCTTGGTCTTTTCCTGCGCAATTTTCATTTTTGGGTGAGCTTTATTACTCGATTAAAGTGACAATTCTAATTATCACCCTCCATCCAAAGACCAATTTTTTTTCAAATGATCATTGCAAAAACATCCGGACTTACTGGCATTTTTCACTGCCCTTAGAAGTTGCTTCCGATGAATGGCATCTGAGATGTGACAGGTATGCTCAAGATCCGACTCTGTCAAATCAGCCAATCCTTGACGAGTCACTCCATGACTGAGAAGGTTATATGTATATTGAGTGAGCATTGTTATGAGCATACCTGCATCAATAGTTGAAGTGATATCCAACGTATCCTTTGACTCATCACCGTCGCTTGTGCCATCTTTATTATTAGTGTCAACTGAACTCTGGATGTCTTCCGAAGCTTCAGCCAAGAAGTCTGCTATTCCAGTGGGATCAATTGGAGAAAAATTTGCAATTGACTTAAGGTGACTTAGTTGTCGAAGGAATCTTGACTCAGAAGATACCAAGGTTAGGTCATTTAAGGGGGGAAAGTTAGTTAGAGAATTCGACTTGAACAAACCTGCGGCGGATAATACAGTTAGAAATCCCTAAACCCTCATCTAGTTCTTTTTCTGTCAAACCCAATAGAATATCGCCGTCAATTTTTAGCATTTTGCTCGTCTCAGCAAAGGCCTCGAAGCCCTCCTGAAAGTAATGAATTCATCAAAAATCGAATGAAGAGGGAAAGTATCGGTCTGCGATATTACTCACTCTGTTCATCCAGCAGATGACATCCTCAGTTGGCCAGTTGAAAACATGAAGAGAAAGAGCCTTTGGAACCTTTGAACCCATTGTATCCAGAGCATGAGCTGCCAGCTTCCACGCTGGATCTCGTTTGAGTCCTGAAACTTTCACTAAAGCAGTCTCAATCATCGCTTTCTACAAAAATAGCAGTTTCCGATACGAAAATAACCCTCTACGAAATAAAATTCGGAGGCAAATTTTCTTACGTTTGCAGGAGCCAATTCTTTAATCAGATTGGTTCGTAGCTGAGCTGCTACAGCGAAATGGAAGGCTGCGAAAGCTTGAATTTCAAAGCGACTTTCTGTTGTTAGAGCAGGAAGAATGAAAGTAAGCCAGTCCTCTGAGAATATGACTGTTTGATCGGTGAAATGGTGGCTTGCGAATTCTCGAACATCGTGACGTTTGACGAATTGAATCATGAGACTGATGAGCTCTGAACGGTCCAGAACTGCGTCCAGTTCCCTACAAAACGCAAAATGTAACTGAATGTTCACCTTAGTCATAAGATCCCAGATCAATATAAGAATTCACCAACTTTTTTATTATTAAGCCGTCATTATGCTATTTACCAAATACAATTTTTTAGTTATTTTTAATAGCGATTTGTGTATTTAATGTCCCTATTGATTCGCCATTCCTATCATTCTACAGCACTTCAAGGGAAACTGTCAATTCTTGGTTAATTTCTGTCTTAATGGATATGAGGGGTGCACAAAGCTACCATAGTTGATCAGTGGAATCTCGTGTGCTCGAGAGCAGTCTGGAGGATGTGTGGTGCTCGTGATCGCGTGCCGAGCAACTATGTCTGTGGGTGCAAATACCTCTCAGCCAACCAGCGATCAATAGTTACCCCGACGTAGGGCAGCACCAATTGCGAAAGTAAAGGAGAAATTTCCATAATTGGTTATTAGCGCTATTTATCACAAGCATGCTGTTTCTGTCATACTGTTAATGTAGCACAAGTAATTTCAAGAGCAATATTACACTAAAGGTTTTTGTCATCGTTAGGGTTTAGTTAAAGCTGATCTATTTATTATCCGCCTTAGTTATTTGTCTTGCTTATTCAATAGTAGATTCAATGCCTGTTGCTATCGATTACTAATCTCTTTACGCGTTTAACCACCATTATTGTATGACTCATAATTCAGTTCTCGTGGTGCATGGTGCTTCTTCCAATAACCCAACTACATCCTATCAAGTCGTTTCTAGGACATTTTATGCCACTGCAGCATATTTTGAAAACTTCCGGGTGACAATAGCTCAGCAAGTCCTCTCCATCCTTCATCTGTTTCTCTACAGTGTCATTTCATTTTAAACCGATATTTTTAATACTGCTAAATGGTAACTTATTTCCTACAAAGACATTAAACTGTGCATCACTGATACTGAAAGCTTTCATGTACTAATATAACGATTTTCCTGAAAAATAAGGAAATCTCTCTATGCTCATTTGTCTACATTATTGAATTAGCAAACATACTGTTGAAACTAGGCTAAAGTTGAGAAATCTTTATAGAGCCTATCTGCGAACACAATTAAATTAATAAAAACTTATTAAGTTTGATTATTTTTAAAAAACGTGACAGGCAAATATTTGGCAATGATGTACATAGTGCTTTATCCACGCTGAATGCAGATCTGTGGGATTCAAGGTTTAATTGATTAAAATCGCACTATTTTAAATTATAGTTAATCTGATTAATCTGAAATCAATAGATATTTAGCTGAATTACTAATTTTTATCTTAGTTCACTTCTAGAGATATTCATCTATCAACCTTTCAATTAATTACTTTCTCTTTTCCCGGGCTAAGTTAAGCACGCACCAAAAAGGAACTAAAATGTAAGAGATCAGGTTGGCCATGAACTAGATAAGGCCAGTACTGAGCTATTTGTCTCGATATGTTCTCCTCCTCCCACAGCTTCTAACCTTCATGCGTATATATTCTCATTTTTGTATTTAATTCATTCGAAAAAAGTTTGTTTGTTTCATATTTATTGTCTTTCAATATGTTTTGCCTTACTAACGATCTATTTAAACCACGCTTCTACACTGCAAACATTACAACAGTTTTCTTTGTTCTAGAATGATAAAAGTCTACAATCAGCCTTTATGACATTTTAATCTAGCTTGTCGCTCAAAGAGCGGCAACTAACGGGACGCATTCTAATGCATTTCGGGGACTCTTAGGCCCCTTTCTCCTTGTCGAATGGAGTTTAATGAAGGAGATTCGACTAGAACAATAATTGGACTCCTGATAACTGCGGAGTGTGCTAAGCTGTCTTTTTTAGACAATAAGAAAGTTAGACCTACCGATTATTTGAGAGAATAGTGACGATAAGGAAAACATAGTATTGGATTTCCTCATTCGAATGCACTGCCAGAATCAGGAGCCAAGCAAAGGTGTTTCTTCTCACCATTTCATATTGGTGATCCCTTCCAACACGAAACAGCAGATTTGCCATTGTTTGTAGAGCATGTTTTACAGCTCTTGTGTCCTCTGATCTACATGCTCGAAAGACGTACTCCAATCCACCTTCCTCAATCACGTCCTGGCACGTGTTCTCATTACAATTCGTCATTTCTGAAATCGAAAATTCAGCATTATTCATTAGCTTCTTGATTCCACTTGCCTCGGCAAACGTTCCGCTTCAGTGGTAAAGTGATCAAGTAGAAAACAGAGATTTTTCTAGAGATTGCATTTAATCCATAATTGAAAAATTTCAGTGAAGATTGAATTATTTAAGTATTACAAAACCACAGACCTAAAGACTGCTTTTTTAAACAAATTTCGTATTCATAGTTTAGTCAGAAGTTTGTGAAGTTGTTTAACTTTGTACAAGTGAAATTAGAAAAGCTAAGCCGTGTTGAAAATATTTTTAAAGAATTAAGCGTTAAAATTTTTTAGCTAAATTTCGAACCCAGCTATTTATTGTTTCCAAGATTGTAATATGAGGTTTTGTGTCTATATCTTGGCAAAAATAAAGCAATTTTCCAAATAGTTCCAAATATTAATTTGACAATAATTACTCCGTTTTGTGTACTTTAAAATAAAGATTATTTAATTGATCATGAAGTAAAGTATTTTGAAATTAACTCGCAACAGAATCACATTACTTACATTAATTTACTATTTCCTCCACTTTAAAGACAGAAAATAAGTTAAAAGAAGTAATTGAAATTCTATGCTCTATGTCCGTAAGAAACTCTTTCACTTGTAATTCTTTCTATCAATTTGTTTTTTCCCTCTAAAAAGTAAATAACTCATCTTGTAGGGAAAATTCATATAAATAGTCTTTAAAACGCGGAGGTTGATACTCGATTGAGTTTAAAACATTTTCAGCATCTGAATTCTGTTCAAAACAGTGGGGGTGGGGGG